TTTTTGTCAAATTTTTGTTTATATATATATCTTTTTGGATTTCCTCTTTTTTACTTTCTAACTACTCTCATCCCTGAATACGCCTATCAATAATTTTCTCCATAATTTTGAGAAAGAATGGAGATAAGCTGATTGGTCTGAAAGACTTAGCCTGGTCAAAGTTACTTTTGACAAGTTTGGGAATGTAAATAATCCTGGTCTTCTGCCATAGCTTTGAAATGTGTCCCAGTGCCAGACTAGCTCTGTAAATTCTGGTTAACACAGGGATGATAGGATCTCCTGTCTTTTGGATCACCACAGGCATGATTCCATCAGGTTCAGGGCTCTTAAGTGGTTTGAAGGTGGAGATAGCCCACCTGACATTGTCTTGATTGATAATATTCTTAGCATAGGTCCATTGATTTCTTTGTATTCTTTTTACAGAGCCAATGAAATGCTGTCCTTCATTGCTATCCATATCAATGGCTCCTGGAAAGTGAGTTTTGGCCTTAACTTCCATTATCTCTTTTCCAGTGGTAGCAAAGTTGCCATCCTCATCCTTTAAGGTGCCAACCATTATGGGTTCATCCCTTCTAAGAATTCTTTGGTGTCTAGCTCCTTCAGAGATAGAATTTACCTCTTCACAGAACTTTCTCCAGGATTCTCGTTTGCTTTTTCTAACGTTTTTGTTATAGTTGGTGAGGGCTCTTTTATACTTGTCCCACTCACCATGTTTCTTTGCTTTATAGAAAAGTTTTCTGATGTTTGCCCTTTGAGTTTCCAAAGAGTTATTCCACCAAGGACATTGGGGCTTTGCTCTTCTGGTACGTATTGGGCAATTTTTATTGTATGAACCTAGAATTTTGTTCTGCAGAGTTTCTGCTGTAATTTCTAGATCATAATTATCTCTAATATGATTTTCACCCAGTTCAGTCAGCCCCATGATATCGTCTTGGAATTTCTTCCAATTTGTTCTCATGGGGTCTCTGAAGCAGCGGTCAAGATTTATATTGGAGTTTATTTCAAAATTGATGTTTTGATGGTCGGAACCTGATGGTCCCCCATCTACTTTCCATTTCGTGATATTTCTACTCATAGCCGGTGTTGCTATACTAATGTCAATTACTTTAGAACGATTAGATAAAAGTAGGATCATTACCTTTTTTCAAAATATCTAAATTGCAATTAAGAATGAATTCTAAAAGACATTCATCTTTTTTATTTGTGTCTGTGCTACCCTAGACAGTATGGTGAGCATTGCAGTCTAGCCCCTAAGACTGCTTGCAAGTTGTTTTCCGCACAAAACTGCAAGATAATGTGCAGTGTTTGATCAGGTGGAGCTTTCTCTTCATAGAGTAGGTAGACTGAGCCAAAAACAATTTCTCGGTCTCTTCTATCTATGTTGAGTCTGACTTTCACTGCTGTTAAATCCCCATGAATAAAATCTGTTAGAGGTCGAACCTCAATATCTTTATCTATTAGGATACATGTTCTAGCCTCACTATTAAGATCATAAATGAGCTTACCTTTTGTTCCTTTGAGGATCAGGGCCAGGTGAGAATCCTCCTCATCAAGAAATTTCTTGGTGAGGTTCGTGGTGCCACTTCTACTGCGGTGGATGTTGGCTTGAAAAACCTTCACCCTTATCAGTTTTGGAAGGTTTGTCTAGGACTTTGGCTTGAATTTGGTGAAGTTCGATATAAAATTTATATCCCCTTTTGCCAAGAGTAGTCGCATCCAGTTCAGGCACGCTAAGGACGATGGTTCATTCTTCCGATGAAGTATGTTCCATTCGGCTGGAGTAAGCCCACCATTTTGTGCCTTAGTCTTTCTCAGGACCTCTTTGGACTCCAGTTTACGACAGACTTTCGACAGTTTAGCATTAATCTTAGTGGTTCTGACAAGTCTCCTTGCCTCTCCCACCAAGAGAGTTTGCTCCTGCAAGGGGTTTAATTCAACTACAGTCTGTTCCAGCCACTTAGAGCTCCCCAGATTTGCACAGTTGATAATAAGTGCCCCATTTTCTAGTCTGCAAGAAAAAAGAGTGGCGATGAAACCCTCTTCATTTCTTGAAATTTTTCTAGTTATCAGGAACCTAAGGTCTAAGGCTTGTTCTTCCGATAAACGCTCAAGAGGATGTCCCTCAAGAATCACAGCAATTTTAACTGCCGTTAGAGCCTCCTCAAAGGTTATACCTTCAGGTCCTTTTTTCCTGGTAGCTTTTGGGGCCACATTTTGTTCCATCCTTCGACTTTGTCTTTTCTCGCCTCTCTGTTTTGGTTTGGGTTTTTCTACCCAGGTACCTTCAGCAATCTTCTTTTCTCGGGTAAGTTTCTTTTTCTGTGCACCTGACAATCTTCTTTTAAGTTTGATCCCACGTATGGAGGCAGTCATGCTATTAATTGTTTCCTGCCCCACTTGAGATGTTGACTGGGTAGAGGTCATTTCTACCTCTTTTGATGAAGGGTTCATTTCTCCTCCTTCAGTTGGTTTATCCTTAGTTTCCTTTTCTTTTGCAGAAATGTCTACTTTAAGATTTTCGCCTGCAAAAGCAGTAATTTGAGTTGTATTTTTGTCATTTTCAGCCATAAATTACCTCAAATAAAAAGCTCAGGTTAAGAAAGTCAGCTTAGTATTGTCTGAGATGCTGGGTAAGGCTATTACTCTAGAGCAGTGTTTCCCAACGTGGGGCCCACGCCCCACTGGGGGGCAATTTGATTGTTAAGGGGGGTAATTCGAAAATGAACTAGACACGAGTTTAACCCTTTTGCTCTGGACCATTTAAATATAATGCTAGATTTCGATGCCAAAATTGAAAGAAAAAAGCAAATTCTTAAATAGTTGCAGCCAATTAACATTATAAATTCGTTTGACGAGACCAAAATATCAACTGGGTTATTGGCTTCGTCAAGTTAAACCTCCCTGCGGCAGACGGCAGGCTCCGCGTGGACCCCCGAACTCTTTAAAATCTCGCTAAACAAGGCAGTTGTTTGCATCCGAAAAATAGACGAAATGAGCGAAGATATTGAAAAACAACTTGTTGAAAAGCTGAAAACAAGAAAATTCTCAGTGCAAATGGATGAATCAACTTTGATAAACAGTGTGGCAGTATTGATAACTTACGTAAGATATATTGATAAAGGGCATTTTGCTGAAGAAAAGTTGTTCTGTAAAAGATTAGAAAGCCCCACTACCTCCAAAGATATATATAATGAGCTAAAAAACTACTTAGATGTCAATAACATACCAATGAGAAATATTACATCTTGTGCTGCAGATGGTGCTCCTAATTTGATGGGCAAGAAAAATGGTTGTTTAAAATAGATGAAAGATGAGAATCCAGAAATGATTCTTGTGCATTGTGTAATTCGTGGGGAAAACTTGGTAGCTAATAGCATCTCGCCTGTACTAAATTAAGTACTACATTCAGTAATAAAGTGTATCAATGCTATTGAAGCTAATGCAAANTATGAATCAAAATGGCGGCAAATGTGCCATTTTGGCAAAAATACAAATGCTTATAACTTTTAAACCCATCAACCGATTTAAATATAATTGATATTTTTGAAATCAGCACAAAAAACTCTATAAGTGTACAAATGTTCATTAAAATCTGAGACGGTGGGTGCCATGGCTGGATGAACTGACATGGTATGACCCTTACTTTAAATATTGAATGATTGAGTAAGGAGTATTCAATATTTAAATTTATTGAAATATAATATCCTCTTTATTATCATCGTAAATCATGTTATTCTTCTTCTTCTTGCTTGAGCTTGTCAGATATGTGGTACCTCTGCATTTGTTGCATTTTGTACCATGCTCCAAGTCCAATTTTTTCTAGATCCATTGTCTTGGGTCGCCTACTTTGTTTATATAGTCCGACAGTCCCTTAATGGAGTTAAGGTGAAGCTCTTTAGGAGGATATGGATTGCCTAAGGTAAGTGAGGTGCGTAAGGGCGAGGGCATCACACTCGTACAGGATGTGATGTGCTGATTCTACCGCTTCACGGCATTTCCGACATATTGGTTCTTGTTCGAAAAGTCCCATTCTATGTAGATGTTTCCTAAAATGATAGTGACCAGTGATGAAGCCTACAATTGTTTGAATCTTCAATCTTCGGAACCAAAGGATTTCAGAAGCAATTTTTGCAGATGGACTGATGATCATGCTTTTAGCATGTTTTTGTCCAGGAGAATTGCACCAAACTTTCTTCATCTCCTGTTTTTCCCATTTTAGGACGGCCTTCTTTGTAGTCTTCATATTAATTCCGCAGAAGGGTTTCGTTCCTGTTGGATTGAAAGAGGATCCCTGTTTTGCGAGTTCATCAGCTCTTTTATTATCATCAATTCCTATATGTCCTGGTACCCAAATAAGAATTACTTTATTCCTTTTTGCCAGTTCTTTTAGGGGATTTTTACATTCCAAAACAATTTTTGATTAAACTTGAAATGAGTAGAGAAGCGACTTCAAGGCTGCTTGACTGTCGCTGAAAATAAGAATCCGCTTACCATGGTAGCCTTTCTTAATATTTATCTGCAGACAGTTGACGATAGCAAGTACCTCCGCGTGAAAGATAGAAGCATGTTCCCCAAGCTCTTCAAAAAGATCGAATCTTGGTGACACGCCACAGACCCCCAGTCCTGAGAGGTTACCTTTCTTTGATCCATCGGTGAACCGGATTAGATCATCATTTTTTGTATAAATCGTGTTGTTATTCCATTCTTCTCTGGTAGGAAAAACTACCCCAAATGGTCTTTCAAACACGTACTTTTTCTCTATGCAGTCAGAAGGCATAAGGAGAGTTGGATGGTGGATTTTCTTAGTGATACTGGCATGACCTAGAGCCCCTGAATTAGACAGGCCGACTCATCATCTATTTTTGAAGCAAAGAGCTAACATAAGCACAATACTAACATAACGTTAACTTGCGAACTTTTTTGCTCCAATATTGCTTGATAGGTCAGCTCTGATAGTATAGGAGCCTTAGCCTGTGAAGGAGTCGGATTCAGAATTGCCTCTAGTGCTCTGTTAGGGGCTGTGGACATTGCGCCTGTGATACACAAGCAAGCCAGTCTTTGCAGACTCCCCAGTTTGCCCTTCACAGTTTTTTGTTGTACTTTACACCACCATATCACTGAAGCATAAGTGAAAGCGGGCCTGACAATTGCTGTGTACATCCAAAACATCATTTTTGGTTGTAGACCCCAGTTTTTACCAAACATGCGTCTGCACATCATTATGAATTTTTTTGCTTGATTGATTTTGTAGTCAACATGTTTATTCCAGGTGAGTTTTTGGTCAAGGATTAAGCCTAAAAATTTCACCTCAGAGGCAATATTGATTTCAACGTTAAAAAGTTTTGGGNGTAGGGGCCGTGGACATTGCACCTGTGATACACAAGCAGGCCAGTCTTTGCAGACTTCCCAGCTTATCCTTCACAGTTTTCTGTTCCACTTTACACCACCATATCACTGAAGCATATGTGAAAGCAGGCCTGACAATTGCTGTGTACATCCAAAACATCATTTTTGGTTGTAATCCCCAGTTTTTACCAAGCATGCGTCTGCACATCATTATGAATTTTTTTGCTTGATTGATTTTGTAGTCAACATGTTTATTCCAGGTGAGTTCTTGGTCAAGGATTAAGCCTAAAAATTTCACCTCGGAGGCAATATCGATTTCAACGTCAAACAGTTTTGGGATAAAAAAGCCTTCCTTGTTCATTTTACGAGTGAATGGTACTAGATTGGTCTTCTGTGGATTTATGTCGAGATTCCTCTTCCTGCACCATTTGCTTACACAACTTAGAGCGTTTTGCATTAGTTGGCAAGTTATGTAAAAATCTTTACCAAGGATGAGTATGACAATGTCATCCGCATATCCCTGGGTATAGTAGCCTATATTATTTGGATGTTTTATTAGGCTGAAATGCTGTCCTTCATTGCTATCCATATCAATGGCTCCTGGAAAGTGAGTTGAAAGAAACCCCCCCAAGTCCTATTATGCTGCCTCATCGTGGCGGGGGTGGTGGCCCTGGGTGGAATGGGTGAAGTACGTCCGGAGTTTTATACTCCTGGCAGGGTCACATAGTAGTGGCCTTCTGACATACAATGAAATCTATGCAAAAGTAAAGACGAAAATAATAGGACTTGGAGGTTTCCACCTAGTCGTGAATGGTATCAACAAAATAGTCCTGGGGCTGCCCTGGAGCTAAAAGGTGATAGGAAACTACAGACAGCTATCACAAGACTAATCACTGGTTATACCCGCGGACTAACATTTGTTCAGGGTCAAAAGACGTTCCCTGTATGCCTAAAATGTAATGCTCACCAGGCTTCACCTGATCATTTGCTGTCCTGTATGGGAATGGAGAAAAATTTTATTTTGGAGGATCCGCAGTTGGTGTTTGATTTTCTGTCGGTGAACGGTCTCCTGGACTTGGTCTAGCCTTGTTCTGGGACAAGAGGAATAAGTACCACCACAAGTGAGTTTTGGCCATAACTTCCATTATCTCTTTTCCAGTGGTAGCAAAGTAGCCATCCTCATCCTTAAAGGTGCCAACCATTATGGGTTCATCCCTTCTAAGAATTCTTTGGAGTCTAGCTCCTTCAGAGATAGAATTTACCTCTTCACAGAACTTTCTCCAGGATTCTCGTTAGCTTTTTCTAACATTTTTGTTATAGTTGGTGAGGGCTCTTTTATACTTGTCCCACTCACCATGTTTCTTTGCTTTATTGAAAAGTTTTCGGACGTTTGCCCTTTCAGTTTCCAAAGAGTTATTCCACCAAGGACATTGGGACTTTGCTCTTCTGGTACGTATTGGGCAATTTTCATTGTATGAACCTAGAATTTTGTTCTTCAGAGTTTCTGCTGTAATTTCTAGATCATAATTATCTCTAATATGATTTTCACCCAGTTCAGTCAGCCCCATGATATCGTCTTGGAATTTCTTCCAATTTGTTCTCATGGGGTCTCTGAAGCAGCGGTCAAGATTTATATTGGTGTTTATTTCAAAATGGATGTTTTGATGGTCGGAACCTGATGTTCCCCCATCTACTTTCCATTTCGTGATATTTCTACTCATAGACGGTGTTGCTATACTAATGTCAATTACTTTAGAATGATTAGATTAAAGTAGGATCATTGCCTTTATTCAAAATATCTAAATTGCAATTAAGAATGAATTCTAAAAGACACTCACCTCTTTTATTTGTGTCTGTGCTGCCCTAGACAGTATGGTGAGCATTGCAGTCTAGCCCTAAGACTGCCTGCAAGCTGTTTTCCGCTCAAAACTGCAAGAGAATGTGCAGTGTTTGATCAGGTGGAGCCTTCTCTTCATAGGGTTCGGTCTCTTCCATCTATGTTGAGTCTGACATTCACTGCTGTTAAATCCCCATGAATAAAATCTGTTAGAGGTCGAACCTCAATATATTTATCTATTAGGATACATGTTCTAGCTTCACTATTAAGATCATAAATGAGCTTACCTTTTGTTCCTTTGAGGATCAGGGCCAGGTGAGAATCCTCCTCATCAAGAAATTTCTTGGTGAGGTTCGTGGTGCCACTTCTACTGCGGTGGATGTTGGCTTGAAGAACCTTCACCCTTATCAGTTTTGGAAGGTTTGTCTAGGACTTTGGCTTGAACTTGGTGAAGTCCGATATAAAATTTATATCCCCTTTTGCCAAGAGTAGTCGCATCCAGTTCAGACACGCTAAGGACGATGGTCTGTCCTGATGGTTCATTCTTCCGATGAAGTATGTTCCATTCGGTTGGAGTAAGCCCACCATTTTGTGCCTCAATCTTTCTCAGAACCTCTTTGGACTCCAGTTTACTACAGACTTTCGGCAGTTTAGCAATGATCTTAGTAGTTCTGACAAGTTTCCTTGCCTCTCCTACCAAGAGAGTTTGCTCCTGCCATGGGTTTATCTCAACTACAATCTGTTCCAGCCACTTAGAGCTCCCCAGATCTGCACAATTGATGATAAGTGCCCCATTTTCTAGTCTGCAAGAAAGAAAAGTGGGGACAAAACCCTCTTCATTTCTAGAAATTTTTTCAGTTATCAAGAACTCAAGGTCTAGGGCCTGTTCTTCGGATAAGCGCTCAAGAGGATGTCCTTCAAGAATCACAGCCATTTTAACTGCGGTTAGAGCTTCCTTAAAGGTTATACCTTCAGGTCCTTCTTTCCTGGCAGCCTTTGGGGCTACATCTTGTTCCATCCTTTGGCTTTGTCTTTTCTCGCCTCTCTGCTTTGGTTTGGGTTTTTCTACCCAGGTACCTTCAGCCATCTTCTTTTCTCGGGCAAGTTTCTTTTTCTGTGCACCAGATAGTCTTTTTTTAAGTTTGATCCCATCCATGGAGGCAGNGTTTCCTGCCCCACTTGAGATGTTGACTGGGTAGAGGTCATTTCTACCTCTTTTGAGGAAGGGTTCATTTCTTCTCCTTCAGTTGGTTTTTCCTTAGTTTCCTTTTCTGTTGCAGAAAGGTCTACTTTGAGATTTTCGCCTGCAGAAGCAGTAATTTGAGTTGTATTTTTATCATTTTTAGCCATAAAGTACCTCAAATAAAAAGCTCAGGTTAAGAAAGTCAGCTTAGTATTGTCTGAGATGATGGGTAAGGCTATTACTCTAGAGCAGTGTTTCCCTAACTTGGGCCCACGCCCCACTGGGGGGCAATTTGATTGTTAAGGTGGGCAATTCGAAAATGGACTCGACAAGAGCTTTACCCATTTGCTCCGGGTCATTTAAATACAATGCTAGATTTCGGTGCCAACATTGAAAGAAAAAAAGCAAATTCTTAAATAATTGCGGTCAATGAGTATTATAAATTCGTTTGATGAGACCAAAATATCAACTGGGTTTTTGGCGTCGTCAAGTTAACTAACCTCCCTGCGGCATATGGCAGGCGTAGACCCTTGACGCTTTAAAATTTCTCTAAACAATGCAGTCGTTAGCATCTGAATGGCCCGTCGCAACTTCTGTAGTGTTTCGCAACATTCAGTGATAGAAATCAATACCATACCATAGTATGTCTTTTATGCCTGCAATGCAACAGTAAAGTCCTTATTTACTGCTCACACTTCAACCCATAATTGTATTCTTGAGGCTAGTTATGAAACTTCTTTATTCATCCCTAAATTTGGAAGAAATCATACTATAAGAGAGAATTAAATAAAACCGTCAATATCAGCATTTCTTAAAACGGTTCTTGAAAAAGATGTAAAAGCTATGCCACTCAATAACAATACTGTTAGCTGAAGAATAGACGAAATTAGTGTAGATATTGAAAAACAACTTGTTGACAAGCTAAAAACAAGAAAAGTCTCAGTGCAAATGGATGAATCAACTTTGATAGACAGTGTGGCAGTATTGATAACTTACGTAAGATATATTGATAAAGGGCATTTTGCTGAAGAAATGTTGTTCTCTAAAAGATTAGAAAGCACCACTACCTCCGAAGATATTATATAATAAGTTGGAAAAAAATTACTTAGATGTCAATAATATACTAATGAAAAATATAACATCCTGTGCTGCAGATGGTGCTCCTAATGTGATGGGCAAGAAAAATTGCTACTTAAAATTGATGAAAGATGAGAATCCAGAAATGTTTCTTGTGCATTGTGTTATTACATAGGGAATAAAGTTGTGTATCGGGAAAACTTGGTAGCTAAAAACATCTCGCCTGTTCTAAATGAAGTACTTACATTTAGTAATAAAGTGTATCGATGCTATTAAAGCTAATGCCAAATGTGAGCTCCTCTTCAAGCTGTTTTGTGAAGAACAAAATGCAGACCATGTGAGACTTTTATTTCACTCTAAGGTAAGATGGCTCTCTAAAGGGAACTGCTTGAAAAGATTCATGGAACTGTTTGATACTCTTAGTGATTTTTTAAGCGACAAACCTGATATGAAGTATCTGTTAACAGTCGAAGGTAAAGCATTTGTGAGTTATTTAGCCGATATCTCTGAAAAACTAAATATATTAAATAAGCAGCTTCAAGGAACAAATGAAACTCTTGTTGATACAAAAACGAAGATATTTGGTTTCATTACCCTTATTGAGTTCAGTCTGAAAACAAAAACTTGGATCAGTTTAATTGTCCTCAAAAATTAAGAGTAAATGATGCCGCTTTACTTGTTATTGTCGATCATCTGAAAATTCCATCGGCTGATTTAAAAGAAAGATTTTCTGATTTAAAACAAATAGATTTTTCAACACTGATGATGCAGCCAATGTTAGTGCATTTGTCTGTTATATGAAATATGCAGTATCAAGAAGAACTCTCAGAAATGCAAAATGATAAGTCAGTTAAAACTTTATTTTATATAAAAGGAGTGATGGCATGGCTTTGTGAGGAAACAGAAATCAAATACCCAAATTCAACCAAATATGCAAGAAAACTATTGTTACCGTTTCCATCTTCATATTTAGATGAATGTGGACTTAGTGCTGTAAATGATTTACTGGTAAAAAAAAAGGAAATTGCCTGGATATAACACAGTGGGGAGACTTGAGGCCGAAGCCAACCAAATTTGAAACTAACATAAAATCTCTGTGCAGCAAGCATCAAGCGCAAGGATCTCTCTAAATTAAAATATTAGATTATTATAGAAAAATCTTTATGAAAATTATTCCGAATTTGAATTTTAGTTTTTCATTATAAGTCGAAATTTTACTTACTGTGTTTCTTCAACAATTTCCTAGAGATTTCTCACTGAAGCCTATCATTTAAGTTTCTTACGTGAACAATTCAATTTTTCAATATTAAAAATTATGTGTATGTCACATAGGGGGGCATAAGAATTTTAGAAAGGCTTGAGTGGGGCGTGGCACAAAAAAGGTTGGGAAACACTGCTCTAGAGGTTCGCCAGTCGCACTAGAGGCTCCGTTAAGACACTATAATCGCAGTACCATTCACCCAAGGCACGGGTCGCATAACACCTGGATAATGGGAGTTGGTTCACTAACTCCTATTTGTTATTCAGAGGCTATCCTGTCAGTGCTACAGGACATTCGGCTATCCACCACCTGCCGTCGCGCCTGGTAGCCGCTCAAGCCCCAGGTCACCCCCTCTTACTCC